TTTTCTTTTTCAATTCTTCTCCCTTCCCTTCAACGCTGCTCTCCCTCCCCATTTACACAAGTTTGTTTCCATTTTTTCCCTTCCATTCTGTGTAAATACTCATGTTGACAATGAGTGCAAACAGGCATAACCATGTTAGACTGCTGTTTGACAGGGCACATTAAAATAAAAATTACTGTTATCCTGTGTGTTAGGGGGGAGAACTAAACATACGAATAAATGCCATATAATCCAGTAGCTGCATTTATCATGAAGAAATAATGTCCAACCCTTGACATATCCCAGATGTCCTTTAATGAGCGAATGGCTGCCAAACTGGCACATCTACAACATAGACCAGTGATAGTGAATCTTGTTTTTTTCTTTTTGAGACAGGGTCTCACTATGCAGTTCAGGTTGACCTTGAGCTCACTTTGTAGCCCAGGCTCGTCTCAAACTTGCAACGATCTCCTGCCTCAGCCACCCAAGTGCTGGGATTACAGGTATGCGCCACCATGTCTGGCTAATGGTGAACCTCTTAAAGCTCTCAGTCACACAAACAGTCCACTATGACATGTGTGCCATAGGTACATCACTATAGACACAGAATACCACTCAACAATAAAAGGAATGAACTAGGTACACATGACATAACCTAGATATATGTCCACATAACTATGCTGAGTGAAAATAGCTAATCCTTTAAGGTATTAGTGACGAACCTATGGCACACATGTTACAGTAGGGCATGTGGAGCCCTGTCAGCACGTGAGCCAAGTTGCCCTAGCACCCAAGCATCAGATAGCAATTGTTTTCTCTAAACTAAAACCTCAGTGTTCATTGGCATTTTGTGATAAACAAGTGGGTTTGTGGTTGCAGTTTGGGCCCTCGGTCTTTAAAAGGTTTACCCTCACTGCTTTAAGGTTATCTATTATATGATCCCATTTACATAGCATTCTTTGAAGAACAAAATTATAGAAGTGAGGAAGAGATGAGTGGTTTCCAGGGATTAAGGAGAAGACTGAGGTGGGAAGAAAGTAGATATAACTATTAAAAACAGGAATTTTTACCGAGATAGAAAGAGATTTTATTAGTGCTGTTTTGTTTGTTGAGAGAGGATCTTGCCATGTAGTTAAGGTTGCACTTGAACTCACTGTGTAGCGCACGCTGGCCTCAACTTGCAATGCTCCTCCTACCTCAGATTCCTGAGTGGTGTGATTACAGGTGTCCACCACTACACCTCGCTGTGATGGAAACGTCTCATATCTTGACTATATCAACATCAATACCCTGATTGTGATGCTTTGCTACAGCTTTACAATTTAGGGAAAATGAGTTAAAGTGTAGTGGACTCTTTGCATTATTTTTTTAACCATATGTAAATCTACAATTATCTCATAATAAAAAGAAAAAAGTATTAGAACAAATATATATAGTACTATTTGCAAGAAGACCATGGAGAGACAAAGTAAAGGAAGACAAGAAAGAAGGACAAAGATGAATATTTTCTAGTTTAAAAAGATGGTGCTAATCATTATACAAATAGATTGTAGGCCCATTTTCTCATCTATAAAAGGAATGAATTAACCTGTGCTGTTATTTCTGAGTTATAATTACTTAACTATTACTGCAGGTGAAGTCAGAATAAAACAGAAAAAGAAGCCTGGCGTAGGGGAGTACACCTGCAATCCCAGCACTCAGGAGGCTGAGGTAGGAATGTTGCAAGTTTGAGACCGGCTTGGGCTACAGAGTGAGTTCAAAGCCAACCTGAACTGCAGAGTGAGATCCTGCCTCAAAAAAGAACCCCCCCCCCAAAAAAAGGAAAACAACAGAAAAAAAATTAGGGGCCAGGGAAATAGCTCAGTGGCACAAGTGCCTGCTTGGCAAGTGCAAGGTCCTGAGTTTGATTCCCAGTACCAAAAAACAAAAAATGAAAAGATTAGAAAGTTAATTTGATAAAAGGTTTGGTGTGTGAATGATGTTTTATTTACATAAAATTCAATTCCCTCAAGAAAATCTTGAAATAAGCCTAGAGACATATTGGTCAAGCTGAGATATAACTACAATCTGGGCATAGTGTGTGTGTCTGCAATCCCAGCACTGAATTGGAGGCCAGATTGGTCAACTTAACATGTCTCAAAAAAAAAAAAAAAAAAAAACCAGATGTGGAGGCACACACCCATAGTCCCAGCACTCAGGAGGGCGAGGCAGGAGGATCACTGCAAGTTCAAGGCCAGCCTGGGCTACAAAGTGGGCTCAAGGACAGCCTGAACTGCATAGTGAAACTCTGTCTCAAAAATACAAAAACCAAACCAAACTAAAATGAAAAGTCTGTGTATGTAGCTCAGAACAAAAGGCCCTGGGATCAATTACCATAATGGAGGGAGGGGGTCAAAGAATTACTATCAAAAGAATAAACTGTAAACTTTCCATGTTGATTCAAATGAAGCAGTTCTATTTTATATATCTAAAAATCTCTAATACTAACTTTTGACTTAGGAACTATACACTTAGGCTTCACATTTTAACTAACTGACCCATTTCAGACAACTTTCTACAAATGCTAAAGTGGGAATATTAAGTGAAAATGTGAGGCCCTAGATTCAGTCCTAGCACCACACACACACCCACACACACGCACACACACACACATATACAAAACCAAAACAACAAAAAGAACCCACTTTCACCTTACTCTTGTATAAACAGTTCATGCAGGGCGGGGACAGAGAAAATACAAGATATATGTGGACTATCAGGTTCCCACCAGCCAAATCTGAAATAATATGAATGATAACACCAATAATAGTAAGGAATTAAACTAATGGATAACATAATAATACTAATAAAAAAAATGAGAAAAGTAAAAAAAAGCAAGAAAATATGAATGAAATTAATTGGTCAGTGGGACTGAAGCAAATGCTCTTCTTTAAGAGAGAATTCCAATTAATTAATGTAGAAGGAACAATGAAATTAGAAAATCATCTTCTGGTAATGAACACCACCTGTAATCCCAGCTACTTGGGAAGTTGAGGCAGAAGGATTTCAAGTTTGAAGCCAGCCTGTGCACTTAGAAAAACCTTGTTTAAATATAATTTTTTTTTACATGGGGGAAGGGAAGCAAAAGGAAGTAGCTTAGTGGTAGAGCACTTGTCTAGCATGCATGAGGCCTTGGGTTCAATCCCTAGTACCTCCATCAACCCCCCACCCCAAAAAATAATCATCCATTATGGGACAGACTAACATATGTGCCTCTGTCCATGACATACTGAAAAGGACACATGATCACCTCTATACTGCTCCTGCTAAAAATAAATAACCTCAATTTAATCATGAGGAAACAGACTAGTCCAAATTAAGGGCGACTTCCTGCAAAATAACTGCTCTATATTTTTTTAAAGTGGCAATCATAAAAGAAAAAGAGAGAAAGAGAGAGATAAAAGAAAGGAAACGAGGGGGCTGGGGATTTAGCTCAGCGGCAAAAGCGCATGCCTGGCAAGCGCAAGGTCCTGAATTCGGTTCCCGGTACCGGAGAAAAACCAAAAAA